CTTATAAGCGGCGATGTCCGCTGCCACACACAGAGCGATATTAGTTGTAAATGAGGAATACTGCGCTGTCTCCGTATAAATAATATTGTGGAGACGCACGTAGCGCTCTGTCATTCTACAGCTCGCAGTGTGTGTATAAACGGCAGAAGGTCATTTGTTATTGCAGGACACTCATCTCGCGCTGTTCATTCTGGGTTTTCTGGTGAAAATCCAGAACGCTTCTAATGCTTTTCTTGCAGAAATTTCCGTCTCATGTGCCAGCAATACGCACTTTATTTCGAACTCCACGCCATTATGTTGCTCAACTTTATGTCTTCCGAGGGCTGTTGTTAGGGTACCGCGTCTCATACTAGCAAGATGTTCTTTGATGCGAACCTGCCAAGACCCTTCCTGTTTCCCCAATATAAGTAGAGTTACATGCCTGGCACTGGATTTCATATATGACTCCCTTGCATGCAGTCGCCAAGCTTCCCGTGCGGGCATGTAACGCAATTTTCAGATAAGCACTGCTTGTTGTACAGTCTGTTGCGAACCAGTTGCCGTTTGATGTTCTCGTTAGGTATATTCACCAACTGCACATCGTCCTGCAACTGTGCTCTTACTATACTCCGTTGGATTGCAAGAGCTCACCTTTTCAAAATTAAGGGAATGCATAAGGGTAGCTTATTTTGACGCGGTACCTCTCGTGGGCCGTTGTGCTGTCTCGCTCGATGAGATGGTGCCGTATAACCATTCATAATGGCTATTTTTGTAGCTAGCTGTCGTGATTCTTCTCGCTCAGCATCGCCCGTGCGCATACCGGTTGCCGTTCTAAACATGTTGCGAACAACAGCGCGTTTCACGGCTGTCGGATGTGCCGATGTGGCGTGATTCAAGATATTTTTAGAGCTACTTTTTCGGTACCATTTCACTCGAGCGATGCCATTGGATTATATTAACTTGCGTGTTTAATAAGGTAGCCAACCGTCTTGCGGGGTTTCCCGTGTCAGTTTAATGTACTCTGACTGCTCATTCATAAGCCGGAAACATTCATCCATTTCGGATTGTGTGTTGATGTTATTATGAAACAGTCATATATATATCTAGAGTACATTAAAGGTAGGCGTTCTAGCACCGGTTGCTCTATTCTACCCATGAAGCAAACAGCGAGGACCGGTGCAAGAGCTGACCCATGGCGAGTCCTCTCATTTGACAGTAATATGTGCCTGCCCTTTGAAAATGTTACAACTCAAACATTCCTTGATTAGAGTCATGATGTGCGCTTTGTCGAGTCCAAACGTTCTTATACGAGAAATGTGCCTGTCCAGCATTTCAGATAATGCCTGCAAGGCTTGCTCGTTTTGGACGTTGGTATAAAGCGATGTGACATCAAATGACTCCACCACAGATCCGTTCTGGATGTTACAATTCCGAAGCTGTTCAAGGAAATGATTGGTGTTGGGCAGGTGAGAGGGAACCATGGGTAGCAGTTGACTGACGATGGCGTTGAGAAACCAGGATATTCGATCGGTTGGTCCCCCCCACGCAGCTAATAATGGGTCGGATCTTATAAGCATCCGCAGGCAAGTGACAGCACATCACTCTGAGGAGCAAGCTTGTGGGTCTTCAGAAGGCTGTAGAAAACTGGGCAACTTGGGTTGTCCAGTTTGAGGCCTACTAATCAACTTATCATCGAGCCTGCAGATTTCCCAATGCACAACCATGTATTTGAGACGTCTGCATTGCGATGAGAAGTCTCTTTCACTAACGCGGCGGTAAACGGTAGAATCCCGCAAATGGGCTTCAGTTATGGCACGATCAAGAGATTGTGGCATAACTACGAATTCTCCACCTTTATCGCTGACGGATATGCGTATGGAACCATTAGATCTTAACTCGCGCAATTCTCTGAACCCCAGCCACTGCTCGCGGGTTAAGTTCGTGTTTCGTAGCCGTTTAAAACGACCGAGAACGGCTAGAATACCTGTTGACAGTACTCTGAACTTAACATCAGCTTCGTGTGCTGGTTGTGGTTCTCTGTTGGATGTGCGCGGAAATGGTATATACTCAGACGCGATCCTGGATAAAGAGTGGTTTGCGTACTCCGTGGCGCTCGCTATTTAGGCGTAGTAGGTCTCTAAGCCGTTGAAGACCTCCAACCACTTTTCCGAAATACTTGTGCTGTGACGTTCTGAGCGCCGGCGAGAAGAACGGACCAAGGCTCAACAGACTTAAAGCATTAGCAGAGAGATGAGTGTCACCAATAACAGTGACCCGCCTCGGATGTTCTCCACCTTGAGCTTGTCGTGCGTGTGTGTGGTGGTTCGCGGTGGAGCTGCTCTCATGACTAGGGTGATATTCGCGATGTGTGCCCAACAGTCCTATCGTATTTCGCACAAAGAGCCGATTTAGCCCTAGATCGAATAGAGTCGCAAATCAACCTTGGCATCACCCTCAACCTTCCTCCAAGTCGATCAGACAGAAGACGTTAGCATGCTCGCTCTTTCGCTTCGCATTTCAACAACGAGAGGTACGCGCGTCAAAATAAGCTACCCTTATGCATTCCCTTAATTTCTGAAAAGGTGAGCTCTGCAATCCACCGAGTATATAAGAGCACAGTTGCAGGACGATGTTGCAGTTTGGTGAATATACCTAACGAGAACATCAAACGGCAACTGGTTCGCAACAGACTGTACGACAAGCAGTGCTTATCTGAAAATTGCGTTACATGCCCGCACGGGAAGCTTGGCGACTGCATGCAAGTGGGAGTCATTATTGAAATCCAGTGCCAGGCATGTAACTCTACTTATATTGGGGAACAGGAAGGGTCTTGGCAGTTCGCATCAAAGAACATCTTGCTAGTATGAGACGCGGTACCCTAACAACAGCCCTCGAAGACATAAAGTTGAGCAACATAATGGCGTGGAGTTCGAATTAAAGTGCGTATTGCTGGCACATGAGACGGAAATTTCTGCAAGAAAAGCATTAGAAGCGTTCTGGATTTTCACCAGAAAACCCAGAATTGAACAGCCGACGATGAGTGTCCTGCAATAACAAATGACCTTCTGCCGTTTATAACCACACTGCGAGCTGATAGAATGACAGAGCGCTACGTGGCGTCTCCACAATATTTTTATTATACGGAGACAGCGCAGTATTCCTCATTTACAACTAATATCGCTCTTGTGTGGCAGCGGACATCGCCGCTTTATAAGGTGGAACCGTCGGTGAGTTGACTTTCGGCGATGACGGGGGTTTTCTCGAGGGGTTCCTGACACGATGCGGGAACCGCTAGAGTTTTGACGAGGCCGCTTGGTGGGTAGAGCGCAATCTAATCCTTTGAAACACATTCAGGCCTCTGATGACGACGATTCAGTCGAAACGTTAGGCCATATTGGATAAATTGTTCCACCTATCAACCTCGTAAGGCACAGCACTATGTATAACACTTGCACATAACCTTCACAGGCTCTTTGAAGTAGTTGAATTGCCTGCTTAACACGTTGACGACGAGCCATTTTCCCCATAACTTGCGCCTGGGACGGCACATTTTTCTACACTGAAACTTATTAATTTCCAAATAAATAAATTACGACGACCAAAATGTATCGAGAAATGCAAGAGACGAGTACAGCAATTTCGAATCCTTGACACAATTTAGCTCTTATTCTCCAATCTTCCTAAATCAGGCAATTTTTAGCAGATTCTTCCTCTGGAGACAGAATTGACTAAAAATTTGTTTCCCCAGTTGGTTTTGATTTCCTAAAGAACAATATCGCATCCCTCGACCCGGAAATGTTTGTTTCTGAACTAGTTTTACGAAAAAAAGTGAAACTATCGCGCACATCTTGTTTTATATATTAACTGCTGGACAGCATTGGGCGACGCCGTTCCACGAGACAAACTTTCTGTCGTCCATCATTGACAGAAATCGTCGTGAACGCGTTAAGTGGACATGATATTTTTGTAGAGGGGGTCGGTTCACCGGTAGGAACAAGTTTTCAGGGAATTTGATGATCTAGGACATTTTAGCGCGGGCGCCAGGCAGTTTTGTGGCAAGCGATTGTGATATTCGTGTTCAGGAGTCGAGCTAACCCACGAGACAAGTTTTCAGCGATTTTGGTGACCTAACGCATATTGGCGCCGGCGCCTGTGGCGCGTCCTGGCCAAACCAGGCAGTCCTGGCCAAACCACTGTGCTGCTCGTTTCAGAATGTCATACTCCTATAAACATCTTTTGAGCAAACTTAGTTGCTCGCACGTCTTCATTATTAGAGCAGTATGCAGTCGGACATTGTCCGACACTGTCGTCAGCGTGTTAACTAAAAGCAGAAGTGTGCGGATAAAGGGGTCCCGGTGTTACTGGTGGGACTTAAAAGCGATGTCGTTGGGTATTGGCACAACGTAACTGCCACAGTCTAGTCAACTTCAAAACGTGGGTAACGTCATGCTTGATTTATTCACAAACACCCAGTTTCCTTATACTTCTCGGAAATGCGAAGTCCACATGTGGCGATGGGGCTCAATCGCAATATCATGAATCTTAGTCATTGATGGCTACCAGCTTATTCACCGAATTCAGTAGCCTCTAACGATCACCTAATTTGATCACTACTTCTTTGGATAGCAAAAGTTTGAAAATCAACGTCTCAAAAATGAGGTCGAACTCTTTTCATCGTAGCTGCCGTACTTCTACAAACTGAAAGGTGAAGATGTTCAAAAGTTGGACCCTTGTCATAGTTATTAATGATGCTTATCTTGTTGATTGAAGGTGTCTCTTAATGACGAAAAATCCGGTCGAGATTTATGATCAGAGTCGCAGAACTTTCTTTCCGGAGGTGTCGCTCAGTGAAGGAAAGTTTGGTCGGGGGTTATGGTCAGAGTCACGGACTTTCTTTCCAACCTAATGCAACAAAAAACGTGGAACGGCGCTCATATTTTCACTACCGGTAGTGTTCGAAAGTATCATGTCGACCGTGGAAGTCGTTTTCAGGTGATGTTGCTATCCTTGTCGCATCCGGCATGAATCTCCGTCAAGCTCTTCTCTATAACCTGCTTAGCGCCATAACCTGCTACATCGGTGGGATCGCAGCTTCATGTACTTCATGTGCTGTTTGCCTTTCATGGACCATCTTTTCCAGGTTTTGCGATCGGTGTTGGTATAGGTGAATTGGGTCCAGATGTTTCGAAGTATGCGTTTGCTTTAGCTGGTGGAATGTTTCTATACATATCGCTAGGTTGCATGGTAAATAAGTTTATTTTGATGGCGACACATAAGGAGTGAGAGGGCTTCTTGTCATTGCATATCTTTTTCAAGTGTGATTATTTCATTGAACGAATTTTTATAGATGCCTGAGATGAGGAAGGCGATGGAGGAAGCGTTGAATGTGTCGTTACGTCGCGGTGCCTACGTGCTTTTCTTGCAATCGGTAGGATTGTTTGCCGGCTTGTTTTTGATGTATTTCATGGCAAGGTATGGAGAGGAATTCTCCATTTGATGAGGGCAAACACTGGTCAAAGCTCGATCATCACATCGTCATTGTCATCGTATCTTCAATCCGCTGATGTTGGCTGTGTTTTATTGTGTTATAGTTTCGTTCCCAGCAGTTCTGGTAACATAGGATAGGAGTAATTGATCTGTCGCGATGTTGTTGTGGTTGTGTTACATACAATTCGGAAGGCCTTTCATGAAATAGAATCATTTTAGCATGGACAAAATGGGGCAATGAAGTCGTTTAGGAGCTAAGCCTATTAGAGTATATATTGAAATTTTTTGGAAGCAAATAGATTAAGACATTGTTTTTTTTCCTTTACTAGATATGATTTTTTGGGATCTAACCGGTCTGCGTAATGTATTTCTGGTAAAAGTGATAATAATATGCATAATCCTAGGTCGAAAGAGATCGTTCAATTGGAAAAAGTGTGCTCTATTTTGTTGTCATAATATGAAGTTTAGGGTTTGTAATAGTTAGCTGGTGCGAATCCAGTAGAGGATGAGGTTCGCCTCCTTCTTTCTTGAATTGTCAAGGTTTTGGATTTTCACATCTTTTTATATGTGCAATGAAAATGAACATATAGGTGTTGCTACAATTAGTTGATTGGTGCTGAGTGCAGGGTATGCTAAGGGATCCTTTTATGGGAAGCATTAGGTCGGTAAGATAGTCTTGCCAGTGTTTTCGAAGAGCTCACAGCTTCCAATTCGTTTAACATCCGTGGGGCTTTATCTATATTGAGGTGGTGCTCTTCCCTGGTTCGTGCGCTGCGCGAAAGCAGACGCCGTCTCCAAAGACGGTCGAGAAAGGCTGCGTCTCCAAAGGCGCCACGCCGTTGGAGATGCAGATTTCTCGACGCGTCGAAGAGGAGCCTACCATGCACAAGTCCTTGCGACAAGACTCGGATGGACGTAAACTGACAGTCATCAACCGCCTGTAAGCCTCGGCCATCGAAACCTACCGTTTTGGTGATCCCTCATACTTGGACGGATGACACGTGATTCACTCTACCCTCTTTGCCAGTCCCCTTCCTCCCCCTCCAGAGGAGGTTTTTGTGAACTACTGGTTATTGAGATAGAGGTGGATCTGTGTGATTCCAAGTTCTATTACTCCCGTGTTTACTGTGTATCTCGAGAAAAGACCCATTTAGCCGCCAAACCAAGCACGCACATTTGAGAAGGTTCTTCTGTGCCGCTTCTGGACGGCAGGGGATCTGTACAAGGAGTTGGCCCTTTGAGAGCACATGGTTACGCAACCATTTATACTACTCAGTTCCAGTCGCGGAAACTGTTTGGACAAGTAACCGAGCTTTCGTATTACACGGTTTCGTGACAACGCCAGACCTCACACTGCTTTTGAAACCTGCAAATAATTAACAACAGACCTAAGAGAGAGGCAGCTTGTCAACCATCTTCTCCCACATATTCGCAGAAGATGCCCTGTTTCTCTCTCTCCAGATTGGCTAAGCTAAGAGAACTTTCAAAAAGTTTGATGATGGCTCGTGAGATGGACGACTTCTTCAACTCACGAACTCCCAGTTCTGGAAAAGGGGACTGAAGAACTCAATAACTTTCTGGCTGTATGATAAGAGAAATGAGAGAAAAAGACCACAACAGTGGCAAGACCTACTTACCACCTAATTCAATGTAGGTGCTCCCTCCCACAAGCCTCTCCGACTTCAGCTCCCATCTCGATTTTTTGCGAAAATAGTACAGTCGTCATCCTTGCCACTTGATAGGGGCTGTCGGCGAGAAGGAGCGTGCACACTGTTTGAAGCCTTCTCAGCCTTTTCGTTGAAACGCCGTATGTGACAAAAAGTGATAGAAAACGAGTAACGACGCAAGGTTATACTTACAGTAATGTCACTCTCTGGTTCAACGATTGGTGCAGTACGGATGCTGACGACCGCGCCGCACGCAGCCGCACTGACATTGAACATTGACTATCAAGTGCAAGGATGACGACTGTATATGAGGCGAGGTTCGAGTGATGCAGCCGCTTCTTTCCATTCATGTGGAGCGAGGGGGACAGAGTGGTACCAGCAGGGGTGCGCGATGTAACCTGTTTATGACGTGAGGCGCTTCTTTCTTTTTTTTGTGTGCCGTCAAACTCCCAAACTGAAAAAGCGCGCAGGTGACGAGGTTATCGAGGGGACCGATCTTTGACTCGCAAGTAACACGAGAGGACTTGTCGTAAAGAACCATTCACTTAATCTTTTGCAGAAACTGCAAGTCGGAACATACGTCCCTTCTGCCCGTTCTATATTAATTTTGATATAGGGGGCGCTGATATGGATGACCCCTAAATAAATTGTTAGGAATAAGCATAGCAACATGGAGAGCAGCACTAGAACTGTCAGAAACCTTTGTACTGATCCTAGCACTAATGGCAACAACCAACCTTCGGATCAGATGAGGAATTGAGCAATTATCTGCTATGATAACATGTGTACTCTTAAATCAGCAATCAGTGAGGTCCATTTGATTTTACTACTAATTCAAGTATGGAGGAGCTTAATGAGCTCATTTATGACAGAGTCCACAACAAGGTCGGTACACGGGTGGTTGGCTACGAGGTGGAATGCAGGTATATGTATTAATCAGTTCGCAATTCAGAAGTGGTTTACTGCTCGTGGACTGGAATCGCTTTCAAAAGGAACTGGTCAAAGCGTTGATTTGGTAAGGCAAGAATCCCAGTAACCCATTGTATGCTTGATAACTAACTCTTCAATTTCAGATTGCAAAAGTGATCTGTTTCTTCCTTTTCATCTTACTCGTCACCAGTAGAAATTGGCTAGTATGCAACACAATCCTTGTAGTCGTTCCTCTTCTACTGACTTATGTTTATCCCAATGAAAAACCTCCAACAAACAACATGCGTGTCTACTGGTAGGGCTCCATTCTTCAGTTCACGGGAACGGGCCTGGAGAGTACCCGGGTCTCCCGACTCACTTCATAATTCAATACCTTTGACTACGTTATCGTTTCGGAATTTCAGTGCATACTGTATGTACGTGTTGCACTCTGAACATAGCGCGCTGGGAGTCGGGAATTGGCATCCGCGTATAATGGCCCTTCAACCCCGTTCTCGTACCTTTTGAGCGAAGAAAGAGCCACACTACTCCAGCTGCAGACCTATTCAGCTCACACATGGCTCGACCGTTCTCAAAAAAGAGTGTGCAGTTCGTCTTCGAGCCTCGGGAAGCGAGAAGAGCTCCAAGATGACTGCACCACTTTTCATTGCCAAGACCGAATATATTCAATACTGTAATGATGTAGCGGATCAAGTCTCCAGCTAGAGAATACTCTACTCTTTTGCGCGCTATCGCTCCTCGAAAGTATGAACTACGCTCTTGTTTAGCACAGCCTGTTTTTGCATGAGCTGGTTCACACATAGGGGCACCCAAGTGAAGCATTTTGCTAAGCCTCCGCCTATCTATGTTCGGCCCTCCGGCAAGAAGATTAGACGAGAGATTCCCCGCTTATAAACGGGATGTGAAGAAAGAATGTGAAACTCCAAAAAATTAGTTCGAAAACCCAAAAGACACCAAAAGTTTTGGAGGTTTCACAAAACACCTTATCTTGCGATATTCGGTGCGTAGCACCTTCGTCAGGCCTGAAATTATTTAACTTGTTCTCATTTGGATGTACCTCTACAGAAATACAGTCCGCACGGACTCCCCTCCGCCACTAAGCCACTTACCCAGTTGTCCCGGAATAAATAGCCAACCCACCCTAACCATGCCCTTCAGTAGTGGAATAGTTTGGGACGCGATTACAATAATGTCACGTAGTTTCTCCCTATTGTTTATTTCGGGCAGTAACCGTGTTATTTCCAACCAGCCGGATCACCCTGCCGCCGGGTGCTTCTCCTTCTTCGTCACGGCTCGGCTTCGCCAACCCGAACCAGCCTGGCTTCGCCAGGCACTCTTTCGAGGCGAGGTAGAGTGTGCAAAATACGCGAAAAGTCACAGTGCATTTTCCAGCAAAATGTAGAAAAATAATTGAAAGTAACTCGGGCAATGGGTTAAAGTTGAATCAGGCGAGAGAATCGTGCATATGCAGCGCTTTGTTGCTTCCAAAATTCTAACGACATCAAAAGAAAGAGTCTGACGCCCCTTATCCAATCTTATCAGATGCTGGCTGTTTTTGTCACCAACCTGGTGTTCCTTTCCTAAACCCTACATCGTATCTTGGAACCAACCTCCTACTGTTGTTGTGACTCGCGTGATGGACTCAGTGACCATACCCTGCTAACATCCCTCGAATCTTATGAGCAGCTTACAGTTCCTGTCATCCACCAACAATGTTCCTGTCCCATACCCTAAATCATATGTTGGAATCAACACCTGGCTGATGCTGTGACCCGCATTACGAATATGGTGAGAGTTCCATTCTGAGGCCTCTTATCAGATATTACCTACTGATCAACTTCACTTCCTGTCACCCACCAACAGTGTTTCTGTCACACCCTCTACGTCACTTCTTGGAACCAATATCTCGCTGCTACTGGAACCGGCGCTATGAATGTCGTGTCAAAGAGACAGACGCACACGCACGGACATAGTCGGTTATATATGGTAGAATTGTAACCGTTGTCCCAATGTAACGTCGAAATCTATCCTTTTGTCCATTCTTTTCTCGGATTTAGTACCAAAAATCTCCATAACCCTCACACGAAAATTCAGTGACCTGTAGCCTCCAAAGCATCCTACCGTTCAGTGCTTTTCACACCACTGTAGGGGTTTTTCTCTGGAATGCACTCCAGCATCCGGGTTTTGCTCTTCGAATATTCCTCTCTCGGCTTGTTAATGGAAGATAATCATGGTTATAGTAATAAAGTTAGTTGCTGCAGTTCATGGCAACTGAATAAACAACCGTCATACATCTGAACTCCAGTTGCTTTAGCGGCCGTACATGATGGTGATAGCGGTAAGAGCATAGGAGTGAGTTGTGTACGAACTACTGAGAGCCTGATACTTGTCATATCAATCGCATTGTGACAGTAAGCGATGTTGCGGATTCTCGCATGATGACGCTTTCAACCCTTATCAGTTGCTGTCACTTAGTGTCACCCGTCAGTGCGTTCTTGCCCTCCTCCTCCTATACCTCTATTTTGAACCAAGGTCCCACAGACCCTGCAACCTGCCCTACAAAGTTGGTGACCCTCCGCCTCTAAGGCCCCTTATCGAATCTTATCAGATGTTATCAGTTTCTGTCACACACCAATCATGTCCACTTCCCTTACCCTATACCAAGTCTTGAAATCAAGGTCCCACGGTCGCTGCAACCTGCGCTAAGAATTTGGTAACACCCACGTCTGGGGTCCCTTATCCGATCTTATCAGATGGTATCAGTTCCTGTCAGCCACCACACTACCGCGTATATCAATCACCTCTTGAAATCCGGTCCCGCAGTTGCTGCAACTTGCCACGAATTCGGTCACCCCTCCCTTCACTCCTTATCGAATCTTATCACCTCCTGTCACCCACCAAAACTGTTCCCGTCCTGCCTTGTATATCACTTCTTGAAATCAAGGTCCCGCAGCTGCTGCAACTCACGCTACGATTTCGGTCACCCTCATCTTCTAAGGCCCCTTATCGAATCTTATCAGGTGTTATCACCTCCTGTCACCCATTAAAAGTGTTCCCGTCCTGCCGTGTATATCCTTTCTTGGAACTGTCATCCTATCTTCTGGGCACGCCGCTAGAAATTTCGTGCAGAGCAGACAGACGCACACACACACACACACGGACATAGCCGATTATATATAGTAGGATGCCTCCAATAGTTTCCTTTCCATTGTGTTCTCTACTGAGCGGTGCAGTACTTTGATGATTAATGAGGGGGCTTCTTGGTGAGCGGGTTCCTTTGTGCGATGCCTGCCTGGAGAAACTGGTATCAGGTAAGAGGGTGGATTCCCCAGCGCTCTCCAGTATTCCGTCGATCCGCTTGTGGAGGGGCCTCCCAGTTTTTCACACATATTTCTGTCCGCATCCTGACATTCCACCAGCTTAACTGTCCCTTTGAGTTGACAACTTTTAGATTCTTTACTATATTATTTACTTTTGAAGGCAGTTGGCACGATGGTTTCCTACTTAGCCTAATGTGCTAGTAGGGCGGTGTGTAGTGGGTAAATGGCGAAAGAACGGAGTGAAACGGTCAAAATCTTGCGAAGAAAAACCCTCCGTTCTCAGTGACTTGAATATCGATTTCGGACGAGTTTCCCGTGCCATCGTACCAATCACCGCTACCGAAGATACGGCTGCATATGTGTACCCATGTAGGCATGCAACATCACGGTCGCTTCATACCAATCCCTTCGCTTCATAATTTGCTCGGCAAGTGAATCGATTAGAGCTTCAGGAACGGTCGTCCATTCGTGGGCGGGCGGGCGTGGCGGGCGTTTGGGACGTAAAGTTGTGGCTCGATAGGGCCCTTATAAGAGCACCTTCTTGGTGGAAACCGCTATGTAGTGCCTGCCCAGGGTCGCAGAATTCTATTCTGCCAGGCGCATCAATCCTACTCGTCTTCAGGGATTTATCGTGCCACTGCCTTTAATGCCGTGTTTTCATTCAGATAAGGTAGTACCAAGGGAATTCCGTCCGCCGCAAAATATGGTTTCCATGTATAGGTGCGAGTGCTTGTATAACCATTCTCTCTTATCATAGAATTCTGTCCACCATCGAATCCCCTTCTGATGACTACTGAGTGCATATTTACTCCTTAGTGATCACCATATTCCCGACAAGACTGGCTTTCATATACAGGGGGGTGGCCTCTTCTAGCGTGCAAAAACACATTCTTTGAAGCTTGCTTTTTATATCAGGATAAATCCGTGACTCCTATTCTGATCCGAACTTTTGTGTTCAAGAACTGTACAACTCCTTCACTGTTGGGGTTTTTCACAGTAAACTCGATGCTGTGATCCTACGAATTCCACTGGGAAGTGTCCCTTCTAATTCGGCTGGGGACGAACCATTGTATACGCCGTCGCTATATCGTTTATATTTGAAAAACCAATCGGATCGCCCGGCTTCGCCGGGCTAGCCTGGGTCGCCAGGCGCACTTTCATGGGAACGGAATTTGTCATTCCTGAGCTCCTCTATTGTATTGAACGAATCGTAACATATAGAGAAACCCAGCGAATCCTGAGTCCACGCTTGTTCGCAGAAGAGGTGTCGTAACGGATCGAACGGATCGACCACAAACGGATCGACGAACACTGGAGAGCGCTGGGGAATCCAAATTCTCACCCTAATAGCAGTTTCTCCAGGCAGGCATCGCATAAAGGAACACGCTCACCAAGAAGCCCCCTCACTAATCATCAAAGTACTACACCGCTCAGTAGAGAACACGACGGAAGGGAAAGTAGCGGAGGCATCCTACTATATATAATCCACTAAGTATGTCTGTCCATGTGTGCTTGTTTGTGCGCGTCTGTCTGTTTGTCACGAAATTCATAGCGAGCGTCGCAGTGAGCGTGGAAGGTTGGTTCCAAGAAGTGATATATTAATAGGTGGGACGAGAACATTATTGACGGGTGACAGAAAGTGGTAACAGTTGATAAGATCTGATAAGGGGCCGGGGAAGGGGAGGGTCACCGAATTCGTAACGCAGCTTACAGCAACAGGGGATCTTGGATCTGAAGGGTGATATAGGTTGTGTTAAAGGAACATTATTGGCAAGTGACAGAAATGGTAACAAATGATAAGATCCGATAAGGGGCTGTGGAAGGGGAGGGTCACCGAATTCGTAACGCATGTTACAGCAACAGTGGGATCTTGGATCTGAGAGGTGATATAGGGTGATATGATAGTGATATGGGAAATATTATTAGCGGATGACGGAAGTGATAGGAGCTGAAAGTGACAAGGTAACATGGGATGACCC